GGTTATGGGCCTTCAACAACTTGAAGAGTTACATTTAGCCAATTGTGGGATAGAAGAGATATTTGAAATTGGGGATTTGAACAACAAAGAGTCACATGTATTAAGTTTGTTGCAGTTGAAGTCTGTGGGAGTTGCAAATTGTCCGCAGCTCCGACATATGTTTCCAGTTTTAGTGGTTATGGGCCTTCAACAACTTGAAGAGTTACATTTAGCCAATTGTGGGATAGAAGAGATATTTGAAATTGGGGATTTAGACAACAAAGAGGCACATGTATTCAGTTTGTTGCAGTTGAAGTCTGTGAGAATTGCAAATTGTCCAAAGCTCCGACATATGTTTCCAGTTTCAGTGGTTATGGGCCTTCAACAACTTGAAGAGTTACTAATAGCCGATTGTGGGATAGAAGAGATATTTGAAATTGGGGATTTAAACAACAGAGAGTCACATGTAGTAAGCATCCCATTAAGAGAATTGTATATTATGAATCTACCAAGATTGAAGAATGTGTGGACAGAGGATCCCAAAGGAATTCTCACCTTTTTGAAGTTGAAGTCCGTGAGAGTTATGAATTGTCCAGAGCTCCAATATATGTTTCCAGTTTCAGTGGCTTCGGGACTTCAACAACTGGAAGAGCTATGGTTAAGCAATTGTGGGATTGAAGAAGTTGTAGCATTCGGTGGATTAGACAAAGCAGTTCATATGTTTGAGTTTCCAAGTTTATCTACACTTCAGCTGTCCTCTCTATCAAAACTGAAATATCTGTCAATGAGGGGGACCGACGAATCCTTCCTCGCAAGTAAACAAGGTATGATTATCACCCTCTATTACTATATATACCTTTGCGTTGAGTTTTTGTTATTAATGTTACGTTGCCATGACAGGTTAGGGTTCTATCTGAATAAAATTTAATATACCTAAATAAAGGATTTTTAATTTAAAAATTATCCCTTTTTTAATAGTTATTTTTTTCATATTTAAAGGTAGACAATTTAAAATAGTTATTTTTTTTTATTTTGATAATTTATCTTAGAATAAAAAAGTAGAGGTGTAGCTAAAGATATAAACTTTAATCATTTTTTTATACAAGAATATAAATTTTTTTAGTTTTTTAAATAAGATTATCAATTTTTAATTTTTTCAAAATCAAGATACAAAATTTGCATTTTTTTTCTCTTTAACGACTTAGTGCATCGTAGTGACTACATGGCTCACGGATGCACTAAATCCCTAAATAGAAAACTCATAAAATTTGTTTTTTTATGTAAAAAATTAAAACTGACAATTTTATTTATAGGTAAAAAAATTCATATATTTAAATAAAAAAGGCAACAAAATTAGTATCTTAACATGCACGTTTACTCTATTATAAAAATGTTTTTCTTTGTCTTATTTTTTTTCATTCAATAGTAATATAAGTACAATATAAATTATTTTTAAATCTTTAATTTAAATACAATATTAAAAAAGTCTATCATCATTGACTAGTGGGAGTAATAACTAATTAATTATACTTTAGGGGTGTTTGTTTTAGATAACTATTAGTTATTAATTCTAACGAGATAAATTAAATATTTAAATTATAAATAATAAAAATTATTAAATATTTTAAAAAATTAATTCAAATTGCCTATCTGCTAGTCGTAATATTAAATCTATGGGGGAAGTCAGAAGGGAGACAGAGGAGAAAGAGATTTTTTTTTAGAAAAAAAAATAGGGCAATTATATTATATTATAAAGAGGGAGGGGGGTGGGGGTTCAACCTGGTTTAAACTCGGAACTAAGTGGGTCCTTCCACTGTAGCAACGGTCGCGTGGGTTACTTGTAGGTGTATTTGGAGTTTGGTTCTGGTCGGTTTTTGGTCATTTTTTCACCCAAATCAATATAATTGGTTTTTGAAAATGTTAATCCAATCCAATCCAATTTAACTACGTAACCAAATCAATTCAACCTAAATTAAATTAGTTTAATTTGGTTTGGTTTGGTTTAATTAGTTTTTAAACTATATCCGCACATGTTAGTTTCTATTTTGCACAATATAAAATGTAGAGGAAATTAAAAAGCAACTCTCTGACATTTGGGAAAAAAAAGGAAAAAACCTTTCTTTACTAACAAATACAATGATTTTCATTAATTAAATAACTCAGTCATTAGTCATTTTTGTTTTGCTGGGAAAAAAAATTAATAATAACTCAAGCATTAGACTTTTATCCTCATGAGATAAGAAAGAAATATATTAAGAGAAATAAATAATAGAATGTTTATTAACAACTTGTTAATCCAAATGAAAAGAATTTGACTTCTCTTAAATAAAATTTTGAGTTTGAATATTCTAAATATAAAAATAGACACACAGAGATTTTTTTTCCCTTATGAGGTTTGATGTAATTCAATTTTAAATTAATTAATGTAGTTGTCAGAGACTAGAAAGTTACTTAAAAAAATATATATACTTGAGCAAAACCTAACCAACATAAGTATAATTTTTTTTTTTTTTTTAAGTAAGAACATAAGCATAACGTTCATAATGTTTATAAATTATAATTAACATTGTCGACCTTAAAGGGGTGTCTCGACCTTGAAGGGGTATATGAAGTGGTCGAGAGTTTTATATTTTAAATTAGAAATTTTAAATTTAAATTTTGAGATGAGTAGAAGATACTAAGGAAAGAGAAAGATTATTTGTTATTATATAATTCATTATCTGATAGAAAAAAATAATGTTTAGAACATTAAAAATTGAAATTTAAATCATGTTTATAATGTTTATAAACATAATAGTCATTAAGTTTGAAAATAAAATTCTGAAGGGACAACTAGCAAGCTAATATGAGAAAAGATGATTAAATAAAAAATTTAAATCTAAATCAAAAGAAGCATAAAGAAACAAGAACTCTACTTGTTGCATCAATTGATCAATTGTTTTGGTATAAGAACAGAATTAGGGACTTTGCGAAGAGAAGAGAATAATGAAAATTTTTATTTTTAAGAAAAAATACTATTTCTTTTTAGTCCTAGTCATACCTTGTTTAAGAAAAAATAATATATATGCAAGAGTAGGATACAAAATTTTGTTGTTCCTAATCAAATGCACTAACTTTTCAATTTTCCTACTAAGAGACTTACTTTTGAATTTTTCTATGCAAGGGAGCCTGGTATGGATGACTTCTGGCACCACTTGATCATTTTCAGTGATCAGGTTAGTTAATTTCTTCGAGAAGAATCTTTTCACATTTTTTGGACTTCGGTTACTATAGCCGGATATCAAGGAGATGAATAAGGAAATCAATCAATCAACATTAATCTTTGATATAATATCTGATATTTTGCTGGTCATACCAGTAAATGCATCCATACCAGTAAATGGCATCCATACCAGTAAATGCATTCCCTGTATAGAATCACTGATTGAGGCTTAATTATAGCTGACAGTTTGTATATATGTATATTGCAATCACAATGAGAAAGATAAGCTTTCATGCGCATATCATTGCCATCCATACTCTGATTTTATCAGTTACCCTTTGGGGATGACAATTTTCTCCAATTTCTGCACAGCCGTAACCCTGTGGCGGGGATAGGTTTTTTTTTTTTTTTGTGTTTTTATTTTTTTAAGTAAAATTTGGCGGGATGCTTGTTCTCTATAAAATATTAAATTTTTTTTTTAAGAATTATTAAATCCAACTCAAGTCATAGGCTATGCTCATTTAAGTTACTTTATAACCAACCCTGGAGAGGTAAGAGGATAGCAGAGGTTGAAATTTTAATTTTTGGTTGTTATTTTCTAGTTGTATTATATTACTTAAGGTACTTTATACCTTACTAAATTTATCAACCATAGCAAATAAGAATCATAAACTATTAGATTGCCTCTATAAAGAGATTGAGATCATTTTGTGATGGCTTTACATCTTTTATTAATATAATGCCATGCCCATGTTTTTCTTATAAAAAAAAAATCATAGGCTATGCTCATTACTCATTCTTAATTTTAATCAAAACAAAATTTCAATTACTTCAAATTAAACTCAACATTTTTTTTTACCTTAACCCAACTCTTTAAACATTTTATTTTACAAAAAAAATAAATCTATAATATAGATTTGTGGGACAGGGAATCCGCAGGTAACAAGGACGGGACAAATTCTATCCCTTTCAAAACCCCCCAAGAGAATCATGGGAATGAGACGAGGAGGCACTCTCTGCCCTGTGGAGCCCGTTGTGATCACTATTTACACTCTACATGTATAGTACTTGCTGCTATATTGCTCTGTTTGTATTATCTACACAAATATAAATAAGTATTCTGCATTAAACTAGCTAGAAAATGGGTTGGTTTCCCGAATTGATCTACTCAAACTACATAGATTTCCCTTCCAGATAAAAAAGAGGGAATAGATGCAGATTTGTAATTAAATGTAAGGTTAGTAATATGGTAGTTAGAGACATTCCCCTATCAAAGACTTTCAATTGTGTTACTTTTATGTCTAAATTAATCATCAGTATATTATATATGGATGCATATTAATTGAAAATTTGAAGTCATTTTTTATGCCATTGCTTTTGAATCATTGCTTCATTGTTTTAATTTTTTTTAAAGAATAAAAATATGTTCATGAAGCTTGAATTTGCAGGTTGAATTTCCCAGCTTTCTGCAGCTAAAGTATGTTGATTGAACATGCAACAAATATACCACAAACAACTTTCCGCAGTGTCCCCTGTTGTTTAAAGTGTAGGAGAATTGGTTATGCTGACTTTATCTGAGGGAGAAGCGTAATTAGGATTGTCCAAATATACTAGCAAAAATCACCATTTGGCCCTCAACTTGATAAGTTCGAGCTATAATTTCCTCCTAAAAGTGTAACTACAAACCCTCAAATGCCACTCGCTTCAGAAATTGTATCTAATTTAAAGGAAAAATGGCACGTGCCTCATGTGCTCCATACCACCATCCAAAGTTGCCTTGACACTGTACACAGGAACATATTTATCCACCTAAGACAGTACAATCGCTACAATTACTTATTTACCCTTAATTTCTTCTCAAATTTTCAAATCCCTCCCATCCTTTAAGCAAATTCATTATATGCCATGTTTTTTTTTTTTTTCTGATTTTTTTATAATTTGATTCATAAAATTTTTACTATGAATGGAGGAAATAATGGAAACAAACAGATTGAAGAATCATTTAATTGCTCCGTCAAGCAATTACTCCATTAAGCAATTAAACCCACCGTTGTGTTTTTTAAGCATTTATAAAAATTAGTAAAGGAAAGTGAAGGAAAGGGAGGAGGAGGGAAGAGAAAAAGAGTATAAAATTAGTATTAATTTTATTTGAACATCAACGTTGTGTCAAGCCTTGTTATTATCAATTGACTAGTTTTTTTTCCATTTCATACTAGTTATCGTCTTGGTTCTACACAAAGTACATCAGATATTATTAGGTTTTTATTGAATTTCACTCTGTTTAATCAATTTACATTGTGAGTTGGACAATAGTCAATAGAATCAATACTTCTTTTGCGAGAATTTTGTGGTGCAGTTTTTGCTGTTATTTATTTATTTATTTTCTTCCAACAAGATTAGAAATGTGTATGTTGTCTAACAGATACTTTCTGTGAGGTTAAAAGAAAAAGTGACAAGAAGAACGAGGTGGATCTCAGAAACAAACAGAATATAGCAATCAATTTCATCTTCTGCTTCATATTTCTTCACCACCCATCAATGCTTAAGAAGCTCAACAGAATCACTAGGCTCAATCTTGGGCATTCTATCTCCATCACCACAGCATTTAAGCAATACTCAACCCTTCCTTTAAACCTTTATGCAAATCCCACAGAGCCCTTAACAAAACCCCAGCTCAAGACCCTGGTTCTCATCCAATACTCCCGTGGAAACTTCTCCGACCTTGTCCAGAATGTCATTGCTTTGCCCTCTGTCCTCCTCACTGCCTGCCAAAACCTCACTAGCCCTGGCAACACAACGCCAGAGACAGCTCAGTCGCTTCCTCATTTTCTAGATTCCATCTCCAAATACTTCTCCATAATTGAAATGAGTAGTGAAATTAGAGAAAATCAGTTTGATATTGAGTCTTGCTGTGTTCAAATGACGCAATCAAGGGATAAAGGTGATCCTCTGGCCCTGCCCAATTTGAAATTGAAGGTCTTGATTGAAGCTACCAGGATGGTATCGGAAATTGTCTATGATGAACGGTTTGTCACATTTTCTTACGGGGGCCATGTTGGTATGGGAGGACATACTGCAATTAGATACTTTAAAAACTCTGTACAAAATCTAAGTTGGTGGTTTAGTGTTTCGTTTAACCGTGAGAACTTTCAGAAGTGTAACATAGATAAATTGTGTTTGTTTATTGAGAAGAAAATTGAGGATATGATGTTGATGGATATGCTCAAGAGGTTGTTTGAACGTGAAGTAGTGAGAATTGAACTCGGTGGGTGTTATTTAGGAACAGGGTTTCCTTAGGAATCTGGCTTGTGTTCAATTTTGATTAATATTTACTTTGATAGTTTGGATAAAGAGATCCAGGATATGCGCCTTAAAATGAATCAGAATGATCCCAAACTTGATTTGAA